AGAATAGGGTTTTGGGGTACATGATGCTATAGTTATAACAAGGAGCCGTCATCAGAGTACTGGTAATTATTTAGACCCTTACGTTAATTACAGCACAATATACCCCAACACCCCATTCTAATTGTTGGGGCCTGTACATCAGTGCCAAGTTGCAGATGGTGGATGGTATTCATGCCGTACAGGCTGCGCGGAAGCGGAACGTGGAACATGTCCACGGAGACGATTTGCCTTGAAGCAGTCTTCAGAGGGATACGCAGGCATCCTGGCGTGGCCTCCTTCGGCTGTGCAGCTTTGGCCAGAAATCCATCGAATGTCTCTCTCGCGTCGTCATCGACGATGAGCTCCCGAAAGCTGCGCCCGGCAAAGTCCTCTCTGCTTGACAGGAGCCGTTGCAGGCACGGCGCGCTGCCGCAGATCTGGAAGTCGCCGTCAAGAAGCAGCTCCCCGTCACAGATCCCCTTCAGCATCTGCCGAAAGCCCTGAATCAAGGAGTCCGAGTCCTGCGACTGAAAGGATGCCTCGATACATTCCCGCAAAGTCAGCTCCAGCATGAAAGGGATCATGTTGCACACGAAGACCTGCAAGGACATGTGGGACACAAGCAACCAAAGGTCCACTGCGCTGCGGCCATGAACCTGTGCTGTGGCCCATATGTATAGGGCAGTGTGGAGCACCGAACTGGAGACGGTTGCTGCATTTGCTGAAAAAAGCATTGAATGAAGAACCTGCGACCCAATAACGATCCCGATTTGGCCCAAGAAGGTGTCTTTGGATCCGTGGCTGATGGCGACGATTGCTGCGACGTGGACGAGTATGATGGAGACCCGTACGGCATGCAGACGACGAGGTGTCAAAGACAGCTGCTCGCCGACCAGGGCGCTGTAGGCAACGTAAACCATCGATAAGCAGAATAGCCAAATCCCAGAAGACACCCCCGGCTCGCACATGAACTCCACGGCAGACTTCAAGAGCAACACCATCACGGGGTGGATGCACGCGCAGACACACATCAGGCACATCTTCACACGCACCCTTCCGAGCTCCTTCACAAACGGGCGTTCCAGGCTCTGGCTTTAGGGCCCTAGAGTGTCTTAGGGCTTTAGGGGTTTAGGGTTTAGGGTTTAGGGTGTCTTAGGGCTCAGGAATCCGAGCTGATCACTGCCTGCAACACTCCAGAGGTTGTGTCCTTCCACTGAGAACTTAGGAGGGTCCTGTCATATCAGCAGACCACGCCTCACACCTGCTACAAGGCTTCCTCGTGCCACCTCCTTTCTTCCCTGAAAGACTCTCTGAGCCCAAAAAACAAACCCTAAACCCTAAACCCTAAACCCCCAAAACAGCAAACTCAAGGTGCCGATGTTCAAGAAAACCTGTGGTCTTTCTTAACCCTTCACCCTGGTGCCCTTCTGTACTGGGCTCTTGTTGAGGAAGTTCTAAGTTAAGCCGGGATCTAGATTGAATTGAACCCCTTACAAAGAACCCCCTAAACCCTAAACCCTAAACCGTTACAAAGAACCCAGTATACTAGTAGCCTTAGAAGGTCTATATACCTTATGCAAGCCTTATAGAAGCCCTATATACCCTAAACTCCGTCTCCTCCTCGACTCTGAGCGCACCCGGGTTGGTCTCAGCTTTTCGGCCGACGCTGCAAAGCGAGAGCCAGGTCACCACTTGTCCCTGGGTGTTAACAGGTTTAGGGCTTAGGGTTTAAGGTTTAGGGTTTAGGGTTTTAACAGGTTTAGGGGCTTAAGGGCTTAAGGGCTCAAGGGTCCAAGGGTTTAAGGGTTTGGGAGTTTCAGGGCTTAAGGGCTCAAGGGCTTTAAGGGTTTAAGGGTTTAGGGGTTTAGGGGGTTGGGTGTTCTGAAGGATTTGGCGTTGAGGGCTTTCAGGTGTTTAAGGGTTTGGGGTTGATGGGTTTCTAGAATCTCGTAAACCCACGAAACAAAACAGTGTGTGAAGTTTGGCTTTGCGATTCTATAGTCTATAAGAGTTCTACGGGCCATGTGAGCGACAAGGGTTCTTGAAGGATTCTAGAAGGCGTCTGTTTAAGGGACCAGTTAGTCATTCGGGCTATAACGAGAGCTGCTGCCATTATCAGTACAAAGGACGATAGTTTCATGTGGTTGTAACCCTACTTACACTGTCCCTGATCCTTTAAGTAGAAAGGTTTCATATGTGCTTTGTAAGGGTCTGTATAAATTGCGCTACGAAGAAAGGTGTGACATGTATAAGGGCTCTGCCAGGGTTCTCTACTTTGGCTTCTGCAGGGTTTCTCCTACAAGGATTGCGTCTGGTTCAATACGACTTCAAGAGGGGTTGTATAAGGCTTCACAGTGGGCTCTGCGAGGGTTCGAAGTGGGCTCTGTGCGGAAGAGTGCTATACAGGTTCGTTCTCCAAGCCGTCTGTACTGGTCTGGTTCTATATGTTTGATTTGGGTGCTCAGAGTTCCATAAGTGGTCCAGGCGTGGTCAATCAGGGTTCCATAACGGTTCACAAATGGTTCCATATTGTGTAGAACGTAGGGGCCTTAATAGTTAGAATAGGGCTTGGGGGCCCATTGTACGAAAATTATAGCAAGGAAACGCAAAATAGTATTGGTAATTAGTAGGGCCCCTATTTTTGCCTGCTCTTTGAGGGTCCAAAATTGCGTCCTTCAGGGTTCTACAACGGTTCAACTCAAGACTTCAAGAGGGCTTCACAAGGTTCTTTAGGGGTTCTGTAAGGGTTAGTTCAGGGCTCTGTTCTACACTCTCTATGGGTAGGAAGGTTCGACAAGGCTTTTCAAGCGCTCTGTAAAGGGCTTCTGCAAACGTTCCATAAACGTTTACAGTGGTTCTGTACGAACGCCAAAACGGTCTTAACGGGGCTTAGGGTTCACGGCTTGGGGTCGAAACCCTAAAACCCTGAAACCTTAAAGCCTTAAACCCTGAACCGCCCGAAACCCTAAACCCCAAACCGCCCTTAACCCCACACTCTAAACGGGCTTTGGTCAAGGGTTCTAGGCTTCCAGCTTCGAGCATTGCGTGATTGGAAGGAAGCCAAGAAGGAATTTTCGAGATGGGTTTAGGGTTTAGGGGTTAAAGGGTTTAGGGGTTTAGGGGTTCAGGGTTTAGGGTCTAGGGGTTGGACTTGAACCGTCCAGCGTTTCTGAAGGGTTTTGGGAACTGACTGCTTTGGGCTTAGCATCTTAGCATGTATCGGTCTCGGGGCTTTAGTGACGGTTGTGGCCTTGGGCTTCATGTTTAAGCCCGAACTATCTGGTGGTGAAGCCAAGGTTCCGCTTTTTAGAAGTGGAGACCCGAATACCCCGCTTGGATTCTAAGCTTGGCAGTCCGTGATTAAGGGCATCGTGCCATGCTGCACCCTAGAACCCTAAACCCTAAAGGCCCTAAACCCTCAACCCTGAACAACTTGCACCCTAGAGCCTAGAACCCTAAACCCTAAAGGCCCCAAACCCTCCACCCTGAACAACTGCACAGCTCAGCCGCTTTCGTGAGATGCCAGTGCCAAGCAAAGAGCCCAAGGGCCGCAGCAGAAACGAAAAAAGCCCTCGGACCCTCCATGGCTTCCAAGAGACTGCAGGGTCCTCTAAACCCGAAGCCCCAAAGCCCCTAAAACCGGCCAAAAATATAACCGAAGCTTTTGGGTGCGGTACAAGGTTTAGGGCTTACGGGGACCCCCATCTTCTAGCTTTAAGGAGGCTCCAACATCGGAGAACTTCCGCAAACGCTCAATGAAGGAGAATCTGGCTTCAGAAATCCCTGAACTGAGGATCCCTCTTGGAAGGAGCCGAACCTTCAGTAGTTAGAAAGAGCTGTTCTGTCGTAGGTTCCTGAAGCCAACTGCAGCAAGATGCTGGCACACACATCTTCTGTCACCTGCAACGGAATTGTGCAGAACACCCTAACCCCTAAACTTACACCCTAAACCCCCTAAACCCTGAACCCTAACTCCTTTTTTCCTTTCAAACAGCAACGAACCTTCGGCTTTCAAGGGCTCTCTGATTTCAATCAGAACACAGGGGCAAAGCTGAAAAGGGCTCAGGGTTTAGGGTATACGGCAGCTTTCTGCAACAACTGTAAGCGAATCAACACCACATCACGCCCTTCGTGTTCCTTGGGTCGCACAACTCCTGCTGAATTCGCCCAAGCCTGAGGACACCATACAACGAAAGTAGAAGAGAAGCAACACGCCAGATCGCATGATTGTAAGTATCTACTTGTGCGGTATGTTGATGTTAATCTTCCATCCAGCTGTGTCTCGATCTCTGTGCTGGCTGCAAGCTCAAGACACCCTGTGGGCGCCCTTTCTACCAAGGGCCCGTTGGAGGCCACAGGCCACAGACAGCAAAGACTCACACGCTTTTAAATATCAACCGCGCTGGCAGACGGATGTCGGAGCATGTGCCAAACAGTCTTTGCGTCGCCCATCATACAGGGCGTGCACTTGTCAAAAGTCTGTTGCAATCACCTAGATGAAAGCAGGGACGTAGGGTAACGCGGCGTGCTAACCTTCAACCCATCATGCTGTGGGAACCTAAACCCTACCACCCCACCCTGAAGTAGTATGCCATGCCCCACAAGAAGGTCCTCATAAAACCCGGTACAATCCTACTAAATTTCATACAACTCTAAACCGTCTAAACCCTGCAAGGGTGTCCTTTCAAGTAATGAAGACGGAGCTCGCCACCCTAGTCCTTTGATTCGAACCCCTTAACCGGAATTAAATTTGATGGAAACTGACACCCTGAACCCCACAGTCTCAAAGACCGTTCTGGAGCCGTGGTAAAACCTTCTGAGACTCTCAGGAACACTTATGAAATCGTATGGAAGCTTCATAGAAACCTTGCAGAACCCTCGTGGAAGCTTCTGCGGCCCGTGCGCAGCCATCATGGAACCGCTCGTAGAACCCTTATGGAAGCCTTCTAGCGCTTAGCCCCAACCCTTATGGCACGCTTCTGGAGCTCTTATGGAACCCAACCCTTACGGACCTAAGCCCTTACTGAGCCCAACCCTTACGGAGGTAATGTAATGTAGGGGCTAAACAATTACCTATACTATTTTCTGGGCTCTTTACTATGATTAATTGTAGTAATGGCCCCAAAACCTATTCTAATTATTAAGGCCCGAGTATAATAGTTCTAAGCAACAGCCCACGTCCCGACCCAAAGTTTCAGTTTGATCGCCTTGCGTCGTCGGTTCGCGGCCTTCGCCGACGCCTCCGTGCGGGGTTCATAAGGTTTAGGGATGGGTTAGGGGATGTGCCCTATACAAATTATCCAAGAAGGTCCCCGCATGTACCTTAGTGAAGCGTCACAGAGTCTTGCAGTCTCAGTGTCACCTTCGTTGGGGCTGGGGGTTTCTTGGGGTCTGCTCGGGCTCAAGGGCTTAAGGGTTTAAGGTTCAGGGCTTTAGGGTTAAGGGTTCTAGGGTTTAGGGCTTAGGGCTTTGGGGTTGAGGGGCTTAGGGTTCAAGGCTTAAGGATTAGGGCTACAAGATGCTTCAAGACCAGCACGGCCTCAAGTCTGAAAGCTATCAAGAGCTTGCTGGAACAGGCAGGTGCCTGCGGATGCCATCTGAGAGTTTCGGAAGAGTAAAGCCCCTACACTTTGTGTCAGGGTTTAGGGTTTCGGGTTTAGGCTTTAGGGTTTCGGGTTTGGGGTTTCGGGTTTAGGGTTTCGGGTTTCGTGTTTAGGGTTTAAGGTTTGGGGTTTCGGGTTTAGGGTTTAAGGTTTAGGGTTCTACAGTCGCAGGACTCGAACGGTCCACTGAAAGGGATTGGCAAGGTGATGTGGAGACTCGCATCAAGTCAAGCACATGGCTCCAAGTCGCATTTCCCGCAGTCAAACACCCTACACGCTTCATTAACCTTAAAGTCTGAAACCCCCCCCTAACCCCTGCGCCCTCCGCCCCAACCCTGACCTTATAACACCCTCGGAAGCCCGAACAAGGAACTTCTGAAATCCCCTAAACCCGAAGCCCCTAAGCCCCTAAATCCCTAAACCCCTCAAAGCCCTAAACCCTAAACCCTAAACCTTAAGCCCTAAACCCCTAAACCCTAAACCCAAACCCCTAAACCCTAGACCCTAAACCCTAAACCCTACATGCTTTTAGACTCTACTGGGGGCGGCCTGCGAAGCTCTGGTAGCCAGTTCGAAGGCCTCCAGCATTGGGTTCCGTGAGGGTGCCTTTAGGGGTTCAAAGAGGGGTTTAGGGTTTAGGGTGCCTTTAGGGGTTCAAAGAGGGGTTTGTTAGACCCTCAACCCTACCTGTGGCCCAAAAGCCCTACCTTCATAAGGAACTATCTATAGAAACCCTAATAAGCAGCCCTAAGAAGGTAGATCTTTTCGGCTGCAGGTAAACCTTAAACCCTAAACCCTAAACCCCCAAACCCTAAACCCTAAACCCGAACCCTAAACCCTGAACCCTAAACCCAAAACCCGAACCCAAAACTTGGTGCTTTAAAGGGGGGTTCTGAGGGTCTTGGCCCCTTGAGGGGGTGAGGATTGCAGGGCTTCAAGGCGTTAGTGTTTGATTCTACGGTGGGCCCTAGGGGTTCTTCATGTGGGTAGTTGTCAAAATGATGGTCCCTTTTGGGGTACCCTAAATAGTAGGTGCCGTATTATAATAAGGACCCAAAAAGGGACCATCATTTTGACAACCACCCACGTAGCTTCAACATTCTGGAACCTTGTGGCTTCTACAACTACAATCGGTTTAGGGTTTAGGGTTTAGGGTTTAGGGTTTAGGGTTTGAAAGGGCTTTGTAGTGGTACTGGGTTTATTTTAAAAGTGTAGTGGCCTTTTCTGTGCCTGGTACTGAGTTTAGGGTTTAAAGTTTACTGGACATTTCTGGCAGGGTTTATATTGTTTAAACTCGATATAGATATCGATAGAGTTAGGGTGCGGATACAGGTACAAATACAGATTCGTCATACAGACACAGAAATAGGTATAGATGCAGACAGCCATATAGATCGAGACGTAGATATAGATGTAGATACAGATAGAGATATAGATATAGAAAGAGATAGAGACGGAGATCGACATGAAGATATAGAGAAAAGATGTAGATACGATACAGATACAGGTACAGATTTAGGAAAAGGGATACAGATGGGGATAGTTTTTACAGGGATTCGCTTGCCAGCC